GTCTGTTAATGTTTCCCTCCTTTTATCCTTAAAATAAAAAAAATAATAATTATTTATTCTCTTTAATGGTTTGAACAATCTTCCATTCTTACATCTGGTAATGTAAGCAACATAGTTGAAGGTAACAATATGTAATCTAACAACCACTGTTAATCCCTATCATTTTGTTTTTAAACCCTGTATCATTTTTAATGTTCTTGCTTTGCTTTGTTTATGTCATGATGTTGGTATGTTGCCATTGTTTTTTTTTTCTACTCTCTTTAAAGTAATTTTTTAAAAAGATGGGACAGAGACAATTTCTTCAGAATCCAGTTCCTTAGCACTGCAGTTCGAACCAGAGTGGGCTAACTGTATGAGATCTCCAAAAACAGACCAGAAGGTAGTTGGAAGAGAGCTATTTTGTGCCTCCTGGGCCAAAACAAGGATTGCATAAGCACACTGCAGGGACACACACACACAACTTCTTTCCTCTGTATCAGACGATTCTGAGCTCAGTGTATGACCCCCTCCATGCCAGTTTTATCGGGGGCGGGGCGGGGTTCTAGCCACGGGTGGATACTGAGAAGAGGGTCGTTGTAAGGACCAGATGCAGGGTGCAACCTTCGGGTGTGATGCTGCAGAGACCAAAGCCTCCACGGTCAGAGAGATACCGAGACCCAGGAAGGCTTCGCCAGACCACGGTTTCTTCCACCAACCAGTAACTGCCCAGGAGGGCATCTACATGACCCTACAAAGGGCAATGAATATTGAGGAAGGAAAGGTGGGCAGGGCTTCCAGGGCAGACTGAGAGGTGTGACTTCCCCCTGATAGCCCTGGGAAACCATGAAAAACCTTCAGAAGGGAAGAGACAACGTTAGATCTGGCAATACTATGGAAAAGACTCGGGGTCGCGGTGGGAGTGAGGGAGGGGGCGTTGAAGGAAGCAAAGAAATCTTTGGTTTCTTCCTCTTGGAAGTCAGGGTCTACAGGGTCTCTGATAAATGAAGACTTCCCTCACCTCTCTACCACCTTGGTCTCCACTTGCATCTCACTCCCATACAAACGCCTTGGCGGTGCACCTCACTTGCACTCAGAGCCAAGACGTGCAGAAAAATCACACCTCCAATCGCTGACAGCTGATTCGCACGCAGAAACCCTTGACCCACCAAGCTCCCTCGCACGTCTACCTGCGCAAGCGCAGTGCTACCACGGCGCAGTAGGATGTCCGCCCATTTCCATTCCATCCACAAAATCCGCCCACTCGCCACCTTCTAGTCCCACGCGCAACCCCGTCTCAAAGGGTAGAAATCACATGCTCTGTAATCTCTAACAGTCTATACTAACCCCACGAAATAGGAAATCAGCACGCTGCAGCTGAGCCTCTGAGGGTTTCTGCGTGGTGACACTACGCTGCCACAGCAACCACTGTAGAAACAGTTCCACCGCGCCTCACGCCCGGGGACGCGAGCAGAAAAAATAGGTAAGCGGAGAAAAACCAGGAAGCGCACGGCTTGCTGGGAGTTGTAGGCCAAACCGACTCGGAGCCGCAGTGCGCTGGAGGAGCTGTTGCATTCTGGGAGTCGTAGGCAAGGTAGCCCCAAAGCCTTGTGGGAGTCGTAGTCCTAGAGCCACTTCCGTGTCTGGATTCCGCGTGGTTGGAAGTTTGGACGTTTGCGCTGCGTTCCGTCCAGGTAAATCCGCCCCACGCGGGCCGGTGCCCGCGCCACGCTGTGTGTGGCGGTGCCGTGGGAGGGTTGTGGGTCTCCCTGGGGTGGTGACACTCGTCTCTGTGAATTCCAACGCTTGCGTCCCACACGCGTTTGGCCCGTCTTTTAGCAGACCATCCTCTTCCCCTTGTCGGGATAGAAGCATCCGCCTGCCCCTGATCCCAGCTGGTACGTCCTGGAGCCCCCTCACCTGCCTTAGAATCTCTGTCCTGATGCAGCCACGTCTGTGGAGACACTGTCCTAATGACATGGCCGAATTCCGTAGGCAACCCTACGTAGGTCTGTCCTGTCTGAACACACGTTAACTAGTCCCTCATCCCAGACACCTACAGAGCCCCGTCTCTGTGCAGCTCAGGTCATCTTTCCCTGCCCGCTGGCGTCCTGTTTCTGACTTTACCCTACAGTCTTCCTCACACAAAGCTAAAGGAATTTTCAAAATCTGTCCAATCTCATCGTCTGCTCCAAACCCTACCATGAAAACTGTCACCCTCTGAATAAAAGTAAAATTCCACATCATAATCTGTGGGACTCTGCCAGTGTGTACAGCCTCATCTCCTGGCAGGACCTCCCTCTCCGAGGATATGGACTCCCGAAGACTGGGTGGCCATCGATTCAGAGGGTGATAGCTGAGTGCAGACTAACCTTCGCCCTGTGCTGCAGAAGTGTTGGGTGAAGATGGGAGCTGCTCTGAGGATCGGGGAACAGCTGGACAAGAACAGGTTCCTGCGTTGTGAGGAAAAAATAGGTCCTCCAGCAGGGATCCTTAGTGGGATATTTGGAGGACAAGCCTGTGAGTGCTTCTCAGTGTACTTCAGAGGCACCACAAGTGACGGGAGGATGCCGAGGGGGACCGGAGGACATGAAGGGTGCTTCGCAGGAGGAGCTGAAGGATAAACTCTTAGGACATGAGAGGGAGAGCTGGGTCCAAAGCCAGGGGAGAAAAGGTTTCAAGGGGCACTGCTCAGCCCTGATGGAAGAGTCTGATGACCATGGGCTGCCAGCTGCATCAGTGACAGGGGGAACCCTACTCTGGGTAGAGGTGGGCATTTTCCTTGTGTCCTTGAGAATAGAGGGTATTGCGGCTGGGAGGATTTGAGGTTAGATAAAAGAAGTCAGATTGCATACTAATTAGAATTAGTAGTGAATTAGAATTCACTACTGTGGGATGAGATCCACAGACAGTTATTATGTGAAGAGCTGTGTGGAAGAGAGGAGGTAGAGGCAGGGAGATCAGCGAGGTGCTTCCTGCAATGGTCTGGGAGAGGAGCAGCCCAGAGAAGGATGCCAGCGGTGGAGATGGCATGTTTGGCTTCTGTTCTATTTTAAAGGTACAAGCGGGATTTGCCACGTTCTCTTTGAGGATCTAGGATGTGAGTTCTGAGGATGCCCCTGGAGAAAAGGTCGGAACTTGACCTTGAAATTTGGACCCACCCACAGGGGGAGTGGCAGAAGTGGTGAAAGAACAGTGCCAGATTCCCAGACCCGAAGGCTTCACGCCTGAAAAACTAAAGTGTGGAGGTCCCTTTTACTGCAGAAGCCCATCTGGTTAAAGGAATCAGGGATCTGAGGTTGGTCCCCGGCCTTGTGGAGGTTACAGACAGGAAATCTGACTTATAAAATTACAGGGCGAAGGGAGCTGGTGCTCCTAAGTTCAGGGATGAGCAAACACTGTAGCAAACTCTAGCTGGTCTGAACAATAAGACAGCTATAGTAGTAAGTAGCCCAAGATGGATATAATGGTGGCTTGGGGATGGGGACTGAGCCCAGTGAGATTTTACGGGCTCCCCAGGCAGGCAGGACCGAGGAAAGTGTAGAGGGAAGGCTGGTGTCACGGCTAGGTAGGGAGGAATGAGGCAGGAAAGGGGTGAACTCAAAAGGTCAAGGATGGGCTCAATCGTGTTGTCAGGAGGCCAGAGAAACTTGTGCACCTAAAACAGTTACAGGCGGGTTGGAGATACAGCTGCAGTCCCCTGACTCTGTTTCTCTACAAGAAGTGATCAGCCTGCCGTTCAGAATTGAGCAGGACCCATTCCCGGAGACTGGATCCTGCCTCCTAGAGGGAATCCCATTGGTCTTTCAAGTTACCCACTTTCCCTCTGAACGGAAGCGCAGGCCCTAGCCTCCCTCCTCTCCTGAGTCTGAACTACCCGGAGGCCACCTACGTAGTCTGAACTATGTCACTGACGGCCACCTTGTCCCTCAGGTCAGGGCTGTAGCAAGGAGCTGTGCAACTGGTCCTTAAAGGCACCCTCATCCCTCTGGAATGGACGGACCGAATTCTGAGTATGACCTGCTTCTCTCCTCCTCTCTTTCCTCCCAAACCCCCTCTTCCCTTGGTGCATAAGAGGTACAATCCAAGAAGTCTTTTCAGAGACGGTGAAATCCTTCCCTGTAACCCAGGTATAAACTTCCAGTCCCAGCTCCGGACGAGGCTGCTCCCCGTGCGCACACTTTCACCCTGGTCCTCTCCACACAGGGACGCCGTCCAGCAGCCTCCCCGCAGTCCAGCTTCCCGCGTCACCCGCTTCTCTCTCCCGTCCAGGAGACGCCGCCCTCCCGCTGACCCCGCGATGCCCGCCCCGACCTGCGCCTCCTGCCGCTCGGCCCGCGCCGCCCT